TTTGTTGTTTTTGTTGTTGTTATGATGATGGTGTTGACAAAGAGGAAGAAGAGGGATGGCAGCTCTCTACCACTTTATTAAATTAACACAAGATAATGTAGGAACCAGAATAAGCAAGTAAATTACACACACACACGCAAAGTCATTATCTTCAAGGAATTTACATTTTTAAATGGGAGAGGCAGAAAATAAACCATATAGATATGTGTACATACACACACACACACAGACACTACATATATTTAAGGTACTTTCAGAACTTTAAGTGATTATGACTCTCAAAATCATTTTGAATCCAGTGTGAACCATTTAAGTAATTTGGATCCCATTTCGAAAAAAATTTCTGAAAAATTCCACTTAGGCCAGTATTCTAGAAATTGAAGACAATGTTTCATATCAACTGTATGGAGAGGTTTTAGCCATCAGCAACATGGAGAGAGTTCTACACAGATTGCTTGTTTTTCTGTATGTCTTATAAGCAAGGCACTAGCTGTCCTGTTTTTCAAGACTATCTTGTCAAGGCTGTGTGACTAGTGAACAGCCTTGCAAGAACCTTGGAAGCAGGCGATAGTATCTCCATCTGAACAAAGGTAGGTTTGCTTAGAGCTTTGGAAGATAGAGATACTGTCTCTCTCCTGAACAAAGGGCAAGTAGGCTTATTTGGCTTCCTTCAACTCAGAGCTACTCTCCTGTAACCCACCTACTGTGTGTAAATATAAACTGAGCCTCTTCTCTTAGGCTAGTGGGAACCAGGGCTCAGGAAACCAGCCCAAAACATGCTCTGACTGCTTGCTGCACCTGAGTCTTTCATCTCTAACCCAGGGGTTTTTCATCCATCAAACAGTGGCCAGCTAACTTTTTAGCTTGCAAGTAGGGTTAAATCTCAAACCCTTCAAGGTGCTTAAAATACAATTGCTTCATTTTGTTCTCTGAGAAAGAAATATTAGATTGTATTTTTAGAAAGGAGTTATTAAAATTAAACTTGTTAGTCATTGGCATGGTGTGACCTATATTTAGTCATGGTATTTTCATTATATATCAATAATAGAATTGGCTTAAATAAGGTTCATTTTAATATATCAATATGTGATCTAAATAGCCTCTATCATGCAGTAGCTTGTTGGAGTACATCCATTAGTTATATTTACAAACTATTAAGTCCTTCAATGATTGTACTTTTATTCTTTCTTCCTTGTACATTTTAAATCAGTTCTGAAACCCAAATAAATATGCAAAGCCATCTAAGAATTAAACAAGGTATTTATCCAGGTGACACCAGAGCATTTGACTCTCATGCAGTATTAACTCACTTTGCCAAATTAATGCAAAGTAATGTAGGAACTAAAAGATGAAAATAAATTAACCAAACAAAAGGATTAATTAAAGTATTATTGAAAAATAATTAAATCAAAGACTTCAGGTGTTTTCAAGCAACCTGAAAGGACTGTTTGGTTTACTGCCGTATTTAAAAATGGATAGACTGAAGGCTTTATGTTTTAAAACAATTTATCCCATTTATTGTTCAATAAAATATATATACCAAGAGGGGAACAAAACAAGATGTACAATTCAATGATATATTACAAAGCAAACACCTGTGGAAATACCCACCCAGGTTAAGGAGTTGATCATTGGAGGTACTCAAAAAGCCCCCATCTCTTCCCCTCATTACTACTGGCCTCCTTTCCCAACAAAGAAAACCATCCTTCTTAATTTTGAAAGTAATCACATCCTCGTTTTTCTTTAAAATTTTACAAACTAAGTAACCATGCACTACAAATTAGTTTTTTGTTTTTTAACTGAAATAAATGTTACCATTCATATGTAATTTTGTGATTGGCCACTTGCATTCAATATTATGTTTGTAAGAGTCATCCATATTGTTGCATATAGTTAGTTCATCCATAAGCAGGGATGATGCGTAGAATTCCATTTTATAAACAACATAGTTATTCATTCTTCTGTTAATGGAAATTCGGGTTGTTTTCTATTTGGGGCTGCTATGAATCATGATGTATGACTATTCTGGAACAAGTCTTTTACCGCACATGGATATACCTAGAAATGAAACTTCTGCATTGTATGGGATGTGCATCTTCAAATTCAGTAAATAATGCCAAACTATTTTCCAAATGATTGTGCCATTTCAGCCTCCCCCCAGCAATCTATGAGGTTTCTCACTGTGCCACGTGCTCATAAGTTATTATTGCCCATCATTTTAACTGTGTCCATTCTGGTTTTGAACATGGTGTCTTTCATATGCATTTCCATGATTACTAATGAGGTTAAGCAGACTTCATGTTTTTTGGTCATTTGTATAACCTTTTTTGTGAAGTGTCATTTGAAGAATTTTGCCCATTTTTGTAGTCGATTGTTTATTATTGACTTGTAGG